AACACTTGAAGACTGCATGCTGTCAAATCCATGTGGTCAATAGCACCTGCCTGAGATATTCATTTCATAGTCTCATAGGCTTGCTCACTAGATATTTCATTAGCATATTACTCAAGATTTCATTCAAGCATTTTCTCTTTTCATTCATCTGTGAATGATATAGTGTTGTTCTATAATATCTTATCTGTAACTGACTTATAAAATGCCTCACTACTTCTCTTACAAGGTTCACACTGTTATCAGTTAGAATCTCACACAGTATTTCATAGTTGATATAGATCTCATTGTGTAGAAACTTCACTACTATCTTCTCTATCATCTCTGAAACTGCTTTTGCAACTGATCAGTCAGTAGTGTAATTAATAGCAGTGATTATTCATCAATTTTCATTTGGCATTTGCAGTAATATATCTATGAGATTCATCTCTCATCATTTAAACAGTTATATCATACACTCTATCTAATATTGTACTTTCTCACATTCTAACTCTTTCTTAGATTCTTTCATAATCTGGTAATTCAGACACTCATGAGTGTATGTCTGAATATTCTCAGTCATGCTTGATCAGTATGCTCTTGATTTAAGTACACTCATGAGTTCAGAGCTTTCTAAGTGACTGAATTTCTTGTGTATATAAGTTACTAAGTCATGTCTAAATGAAGATTCTAGATAGAGAGCTTCTATGTATTCTAGATTGCAGTAAAGTATAACATTATTTTTCAATTTTCTCAGCTTGAAGTTCAGAAGTATCTCTTCTACTACTTTCATGAGACACTTGTCATCTGATATCTTGTCATTCTTTAAGCAAGAGATTATGATGTTCACTCATTCTGATTTCTTACATTCTCTCAGTATATTTAACATGAACATCTCTTATATCTGATTCACAGAACTCTCACTTATAAAATCAGATCTGTAACTGATTGTATCAGATATCACTGTGTCTGATCTCTTTCAGTATTTGATATGAAGATTATATGCTTGAAACTCTGAGATTCAACATGCTAAGTATTTGAAAGGTTTTATTATTAATTATAGATAGATAAGACTTTTGTGATTCATAATCACTGTTATTGTATGTCTGTTATTAATATATCTATTTCACAACATCAGTGTGTGCTTAATCACTAGTAATTTCTTTTCATATACTGAGTAATTGAGCTCAGTATCTGATAGTTTTCTATCATTATACATCACTGAGTGCAGCTTGCTGTTCTTATTCATCTGTAGAAGAGCATCTCTGATAGCTCATTCAGATGCATCTATTTCAATGTAGAAAGATTTATTATAATCTGATTGAATAAGCACTGAAGATATTATTACATATTTTCTCAGTGTGAGAAAAGCCTCTTCACACACAGTATTTCAGATGATTAAATGAAACTTCTTCTTTCACAGATTTATATCTGTTTCTCTTAAGAGATCTGAGAGTGATGCAGATATTCATATGAAATCCTTGATAAACCTGCAGTAGTATGAGACTAACTTAAGAAACTATTATATATAATGTACATTTCTCAGCTGCAGTCAATTCACTATGACATTCAATTTCTTCAAGATGAGATATATACAGTCATCACTTACTACATGTTCTATGAACTTCAACTCTTTCATTTCAAACACATACTTGATTGATTTGACATAGAGCTTATACTCTGTCAGAGTTGTAAGCACTTCATCAAGATACTTCAGATGTTTATTATATGAGTTTGAAAAGACTAGAATATCATTGAAATATACAAGATATGAGATTTCATTCTGTTTATAAAGAATTGTATTCATTATTATTTAAAAGATGATAGATGTATTTGTCAGATTAAATAATATTATCAGAAATTTGAACTTTTCTCATTATATATTAAATATAATTCACAGAACTGACAGTTCATCTATACAGATCTGTCAGTATTCTGAGAGAAGATCAATCTTCAATAGATATCAGATATTTCTGACTGTATTCAACTGTTGTTGAATCTGTGATAGTGAATATTCATTCTTGATTATAAGCTTATTAAGTGCTTGATAATTAATACACATTTATCACTTTTCACCTGCCTTTTTTACAAATAGAACTGAAAAGCCTCACACACTTGATAAGAATTGTATGAGATCATGTTCTAGAAGGTCTGTGATCTGACACTTTTGTTCTTTGAGATGTGTTTGTGACAGAGAATATGCATTCTGATTGACTAGTTTTGCATCCCCTGTGTCAATCTCATATACAAATTCTTATTTCAGTGATAATTTCAGTGAAAGATCTGTTCAGAAGATCTTTTCATACTTCTTCAGAAGCTTCTTTATACACTTATTCTCTCATATATCTTTTGTCTTAGTTTTCTTCACTTCTGAGTTCTATATAATATACAGAATACTTTCAGATGAGATCTTATAAATCATTCTCTTTGCTTATTAATATATAAGCAGATTTAACTCTTCTATATCAGAGGCATGAAATGTCCTTCTCATATCAGTTAATAGAATCATATGAACTGTTTTCTTTCTATCAGTCAACTGCATATAATATGTACATCATTGAATCTGCAGATTGAATCTTTGAAATCAATCAAGTCTGAGAATAAGATTATATTTCATATTCTGCAGCTCTCATGCTCAAATATAGTAAGATTATTCTTCAAAGTACAAGAAAACTCTTACTCTTGCAGATGATATTAAATATCAGTTATCAGATAATCTTATGTATCAGGAATTCTTCACTCAGCAGATCTCTTTCAATCTTTGAATTATATAATTATTAATATATTGCATAGAAGCTTCTATGTCTGTTAACACTTTTACAGCTATCTCTCAATTCTTATTCAAGTGTTCTCTATATATTAACATTTCAGGTCTCAAGACATTGAGATGAGTGTTCACTTCATCATTCTCACTCACATCTCATTCAGAAGCCTGCTTCTTCTTTGTATTCATAGAATTCAGAAAGTCATCTAATATAAGCATCTCTTTTACTTTGAAGACTTTTCATAGAATATCAGTGAGTATCTCTGAGCTCACTGATTCTGCTAGTTTTTTAACTCTCTTACTTCTCTTGACTGTGTATGCTGAGTGTAATCTTTTACATTATAATTCTAATATCTGTAGTTAAAGCAAGCTTGATACTTATAATATCAAGATTTTCACTCAGAAAATCTCTTTTTCAGAGAATTCAGTGCTTTAGCAATGATATTCAGATCTAGATTCATCACATTCAGATGTATAACTTGTGTTATAGAAGTCTGATTATCTATTCTTCACTGAGATATACTCAATTGCAGTATTTTCTGTTATAATTGACTCACTTATTTCTGTACAATGAGAATGTTATATGCTTCTTTCACTGTGTCTGATTATAAGATTAAGTATTTTCATTTCACTCTCAACTCAGATGTAAGATCATGAATAAAGATCTGTAAACAGAAAGAAGTTAAAAGCTCTTCATTCAATACAAGATAGTGTAAGCTGAAGTGTGTGAAGTATAATGTAAGATCACTCACTTATCTACACTCAGTGAAGTATTTATAATATTTATCTTATATATTCACTTTCTCAAAGTTATGCAAGATTCATTTGAAAAACTCATTTCATGTTTATAAGAATGAATATCACTCTGAGTCTGTGAGATTCATCTTTTCATCAGTCATTTATAATGACTTCACTTTTTCACATAGAAATGCAGCAGATCTTAAGACTTATTGAAATTTCATTAACTGTCTGTCTGTAAGTTCATATTCAATTCAATAATATAATTACATCTGACTTAGTCAGCTGATTACAGCATTATTTTTTCAGTTGTTATTAAAGCTTAATAACTTCAGCAGATCTTCTGACTTAATATATCTCATGCTCAGATTCTTATTCTGCACAGCAGTTTCTGATGATGTGTATACTTCTGAAGAGATTGTGAATAATTATGATGAAATCTTCAGATTCAGTGTAGTTATCTATCTATGTAAATATTTAATCTTCTGCTACAGGTCTAAGATCTGATTTTCTCTATTCTTATTAATGATGATGATTGTATTGATGAAGCTTTTCATAGTGAATGCTTGATCTGCAGCAAATGTCAATTGTTGTTTAGCTTCTGTCTCAGCCTGCCACTGTGTACACAAGGCCTTGATCTCATTTAGAATTCTTGTACATGTATGAAGCTTTAATTTCAGTTCAGCAGTCTCAGTCACTTTTCTTACTACTTTAAGTAAACTCTCTGAGAGATTCTGCATATCTTCTGGTTCAGATAGTAGAGAAGAGTGTTATTTATATCAGCTAAAGAAGATATTCATTTCAGTGATTTCTCATTAATTGTATGATGTCTATTATTATATCACTGTATCATTCTATCACTATATTGTTATATGATTTCTGTTATTATTGTATAACTTCACTGATAATCACTCTCTCTTTTATTTCTTTAAGTGAAGAGCAGTCTTCTTTAAATCTGATTCATTACTCTCATTTCTTTTCTCACATCTCAATGAATATCAACAGTGCATGCATTGAATGAAGATGATGTTGCTATGCAACACTGTAGCTGTTTCTGTACATCTCTGAAAGCTGTTAATATTTTCTTTGTCTTTTTATATTTAATAAGTCAGTAATATATTTCAATGCACTTTCTCTTTTATTATCATTATCATCATTATCATCATTATCATCATCATTACTATTATTATCATTATTATCATCATCATCATCATCATCATTATCATTATTATTATTATTATTATCATATTATTTCTGACTGCCTCTTCTGCCTTCACCTCTCTTCAATACTCACTGAAATCAATTATGTCATTCTTCTTTAAATATTCTGCAGTTCTGCAGATCATCAAGGCACATGAGCACTGTCACAGATTGAAGAAAGAGAAGAAGAAGGTGTTCAAGTGAGAGAAGACAGATCACAAGACATGTTATAATATCTTGAAGAGGCTCTGTAAGAGAGTAGAATGATAACAATTTTAAGTAACACTTCTGATAGATTTAGACTGAACTAAGTATAGAAATAATGCAGATGGCGTCACCTGTGAGAGATTAGAGAAGAAGACAGTGAAGAGTCTCATACAGTAGTAGTGAGACCAGAAGAAGTTCTGAGAATGATTTGAGACCAAGGTGAAGAGAGAAAGAGAGAAGAAGAGTATTACTGTAAATAAGCAGTAGTAGAAGAAGATTGAGAGAGTGTTAAAGCAGAAGATAAAGAAGTCAAAACTGATAAGTTTTTTATTTATTGAGAGATAACAATTTTTAATAACACTTCTGTTCTCTAATTGATTAGCAGAAGCTGGCAGAGAAGAAGGGAATTAAGGTCTTATTCAGGTCTCAAATGTGCTTCATGATTCAGAATATTGAGAAGGCAGCTCTGCTCTCTGAGCATGTCAATCTGCTTGTTACTGAGGTGGAACCCGAGGCAGCAGATCAGGAAATGCGGGATTTTGAGATGCAGGTTGATCTGGCTAAGAGAGAGCAGCAGGAACTCTTCTCTGAGAAGATAGTGAAGAGAGATTTTGAGATAATTATCATCTCAGATGAGAAGAAGAAGAAGAAGAAGAAGAATAAGAAGTAAATTGTGAAGAATGATAAGAAGAATGAGAAAGAGAAGAAAGATAATGAGTAGAAAAAGTTTTTTTCTTTTTATATTAATTAGTTATAAGTTCATAATTATTAATAATTGAAATTAATTTTGAGTTTTTAAAAATTATTGTACAAGTTGTAATCAAGTCAGGAACAATATATATATATATATATATATTTAACTATCATGATTCACAAATCACTTGTAATGTGATGAAACTGAAGTGATAACTAGTCAGCAGTGTCACATAGAGATAGTTGTTTGAGAAGCTGTATAAGTGAGCTTAACTATCTTGCTTAAATAGTGAGCTCATAGGCTACAGAGTTATTGCAAGAATATCACAGATATAATACTTTGTATACTAAGAAGATTGTATAAGATATGCAGTAACTCTCATATATATTTCTGATAAAGAAAAAATGAATTACTGACTTCTTTAATAAGAAGTCAGTATCTAGCTATTTTATATAGATAATGAGTGAATACTCTTCTCTCATTTCATAAGTAAGAATAGTCAGAGTAATACCTCAGCAGTGTCTTATTATTAAGAAAGAGTAATCTACTAATCTTATATAGAAGTAAGATTCTTATATTCATCAATCAGATCTTTCTATGATATATTCAAATAATATTATAGAGTGATTGAAAACTGGTTTATATAAGATGAAATTATTTATATGAAAGTGATAAGTCATGTGAAACTATAACAGAGTCTTGACACAGCTGAGAGTATAATAATGCTCTTCTCTTTAAAAGTATAGTCTCTATACTCTCAAGATTACTGAATTAAGAATTATCTTTATTATATAGTAACAGTTACTAACTGATTGACAGTGCATATACTGTACATGATATAAAGAAATAGATGAGTTTTTCTACTGACTGTATAGATCTTTCTTTTTTCATCTTCATTCAATTCAAACATGTGATAAGTGAGTTTCTTATATATTAATTTAAAATGTGAAAAATGTAATTAATAAGTGACTTACAGATCTTTCAATATATTTCATTCTATATATGAAATTCTCTGCAAAAGTGATGTATTTTTAGAGACAAAGTTAATAGTAGTGATAGGATTTTTCTTAAAAAAATTCTCTCTCTCTATGATATATTTTTCTTCTTTCTTCTCTTATCTGTAATAGTGAGTGTATGAGAGTATTATTCTTGAAGAACAGTAGAGAGCTTATTCTGACATTTTCTAGTGAGTAAACATCTTCATAGTGTAGCAGCAGTCTTCATGACTATCAAGAAAGCCAGGTTGAAGGCAGAGACAGCAGTGTCAATGAGCTGCAGAAGTATCACTCTCATTATCACATCTTCTTCTTCTTCTGCTTCTTTTGCAGCTGTGATGATAGTTGCCATGCCTTGCAGTAGAGTGTCATCTCTTCTGCCAGTCAGTTCATCTGTGTTCAGTTCATCTCTCATCTCTCTCATCACTGTTACAACGCCGCCCCCTCTCTCAGTCAATACAGTGACATATGACCCCATGTAGTCATTCAGAGAGAAACTCAGAAAGAGCTTGATTTCAGAAACAGTGACTCTGAGAAGTTTAATTCATAGTTCCTCTCTCATGACATGCCTGAGCCCTGCTCAGAATACTGTTGAGTTGAGTTCACAGAGTTCTATAGTTTCTTCATCTTCTCTCTGTGAAGAGGCTCTGATACAGTCTCTGATCAGTATTACTACTTATCTGCACTATGTTAAGCAGTTAAAAAAGAAGGAAATTCTGTGTATTTACTTCTTCTCTCACTCTCATTATTTCTGTTATACTTATAACAACAACTTCTATCTCTCTGTAAGTATTACCTACTCTATAAGAAGGTATTGTATCAGCTCTGACAAGAAGCTCAGATACTCAAGCAGTACAGAGTGAGAGTCTCAGAGCTTTAAGTATTAATAGATTTTATCAAGACTGAAAAGATCTCTCTTACTCATCTGTAAAAGAAGATGAAAATGTAAGTCTCTGAAATGAAAAAACATCTCAGAATGACTAATCTCAAGAAGAAATTAACTGATACTGCTGTTAAAAGCACTGTGAAGATTAATCACTGATTAAAGAGAATCTCACTTCAATTAAAGCAGATAACTGAGATACTTTATAAGTTGATAAGTTAATATTTTATGCATTTCTCCTACTCTTCTGCAGTGCTGCAGTGCTAACTTCTCAGCAGATAAAGATGCTAATACTGAAGACTTCAACAGTGAAGAATGAGTTTGATAAGAATATAATTATTAATAAGTAGGCCCTGATCTCTCTTTTTACTTTTTTAATAAGCTGTGATCTCATTAGAATAGCAGCAGCTCACAGATTGATAATATTAATCTTTTTATTAATTTTAAATATCTCTTTTCTTTTAATCACTTCAGAAATGTTATACTTGTGTAATCTTATTAAACTTCTAAAAACTCTTTAAGAGAAAATAGAAGAAGAGTGCTATAGAGTCTATAAGACATCAGCTTATCACTGTAAAATTATCTCTAAAAAATTCTTTAAGAAAAATAAAAAGTCTTAAGTAGTATTTCTTGTTTAATATCTCTGATATGTAATAGAGCAGTCTCTACTAGTCATCTCATAGATTATAATCTCTTTCTCAGTATTTTTCAAATACTTAAGCAGTTCTTATAAATTCTCTGATAATAAATAATCTTCTTATTTAATAAGATATTGAAGCTTGCTGTAATATATTCACTTATTCAATATTTTCTTTATAAAATATTCAGTATCACTTTCAATCTTAATATCATCTGACTAAGACAGCTCTGTCTCAGAGTGTTACTTATAGAGCTTTAAATAGAAAATATAAAAAACAGAATAAATTGATTTTAATTCTATGAATAATTTTAACTTATATATCTGTTTATTCATCACTCTTATTACTGAGAAAGATTCTAGTCATTACTTACTGAGCTTCTTATATAATCTCATTATCTTAATATTCTTTACTGAAAGTAGTACTTGATTCTCTATTAAGAACTTTATTAAAAGATGTTTTTAATTATAGTATTTTATCTACTACTTCTGAACATAATGAATACTTTTCATCATCTTTTCATGAATTTTATTCAAAAGTTCTAATCTCACTTTTACTTTTAATACTAAGAGATACTTCATTCTTTGTATCTGTTTAACATTCTGACTATCTATTTCTCTCTTTGAAATGTTATCTGTGATGTCACTGAATAATGAAGAATTATATTTATAATAAGTGTAGAAAGAAGATATCTTTAAGATTACATTCTTTATATTATTATATATGAATTCAGTAATTAGAAGATGTTTAAGTCAATTATTCTGATAATATGAATAGAATACTTAAAGATACTATTCTAGTGTCTGATTCTAGCATTCAGTCTGATCATTGATCTGCAGATAAAATGCAGTACTGAGAAGACATCTTATTATAAGATAATAGTAAAAAGCTGATTAGTACTTGCTAATAAAGAGAGATTTTTAATCTATTATTAATAATTTCAGAGCACTGTGATTATAAATAATGATATCTAAAAATAGATCAGTCAATTCAGAGGCTTTAATCTTTTTATAAGTAGAAATATATCTAGTCATCTTCATAAAGTAGTTAATAATAATCAAAATTAAGTCATATTCTTTGACTCTTGTCAACTTTAGCAGGTCAACTATGAAATTCATTAATAGATTCTATTATAAGTTCTTTAAAACAGATAGTGATACTAACTCACTGTATTACTTATACTGCAGAATCTTTATTCTTTGACAGATATTATAAGTCTTAATATACTCTTTGACATCTGCTCAGAGCTTGTCTTAAGTGTATTTATATTTTAAAAGCTTCTTAGTCTTCTCTAATCTGAAGTGTCCTGTATGAGAATTATTATAATGAATTCTCAATAACTTCTAACACACTGTTCTACTATGAGAGACAAAGACTGAACTATTCAGCAGTAGAAGTTCACATTCTTCTAGTTATCAGTGACTTGATTTCTTAGTGATATCACTCTGCTCAGAGTCTGTCTCTTTTAAGTTCAAACTGAACTCTTTCTTCTTCAACTTCTGAATTTAAGCTGTAGTAGAGATATCTCTCTTCTGTAACTTATTAATAAATTTTAAAAGTAGTTAAGTTGAAAGATTGTAGACTGTTTCATTCTTTATCAATTCAATAATTATAAGATATAATATAAGAAGCTTATAATCTTCAGTATCAGTTCTCTGCAGAGATCTGAGTTCTCTTTCATCTTCTATACTGAGTTATACAGCTGTCTCTCTGACACTGTTTCTGAGCTTCAGAGAATCTCAATTCTCTACAGCCAGCTTTCTCTGCAGTGATGACAGAGATTCTTTTATAGAATTTTTCTCTGCATCAATAATATTATAATCAGGCTGTTTAAACAGTGTGTTAGTGAGATTAAGCTGATCTGAATAATATTGAATATAGAAATCATACTCTGAAAGCAGCTCTACTCATCTGGCTTGACATTCTATCAAGCTCTTTGTTGTCAAGAAGTAACATAGATTTATATAATCAGTGAGAACTTGTACTGAGTACTTACTATTCTGAAGATAATATTATCAAATCTTAAAGAATTCAATAATTACTAACATCTTCTAATCATGAGTATCATACCTTCTCTGTGTGAGTAATAACTTCTTGAAAAAGAAGATCACTGATCTTTATTCACAGTGTCTTATAGACTTTATAAAAAAGTCTTCTTTCACAGACAATTCATTGTCTGTTTTCTCAGAGATAATTATTCTCTGATTCTTTCAACATTGAAAGGCCTTCAGTGTTAACTGTGAAAAGATTTCATAGATTTCATTTCTGAATACATCAGTCTTACACTGACTGAGTAAGTCAGAGTTAAAGTGATTCAGTATTATAACATCTGTAAAAGCTTGTTTTAATTCTGCAAATATCTACACAGTATCTTGAGTGAGAATAAACAGTTCTATTTTTCTGTCTTTCACACTTCTCTTTAACAGATCTGTAAGAGAGACAGTAATCTGTGAATATGTATAGATGAATTATCTGTAGAAATTTATAAATTCTAGAAATATCTATATCTTATAATATATCTGCAGTATTAGTCAGTTCTTAATAATAAAGACCTGGCTTCTGTTCATTGAAATGTCATTTATCTTAATAATATAATCTAAGAAATCAATCTTCTGCATGTAGAATGAGCATTTTTCAGTATTTGTATAGAGTTAATACTGTCTCAAGTGACTCAACACTTCTCAAATATAAGTATCATATTCTTTCTCTGTTTTTGAGAAGATTAGAATATCATTCAAGTATACTATATAGAAGACATTAACAAGGTCTCACAGCATCTCATTTATATAGATCTGAAAGATGACTGAAGCATTATAAAGATCAAAAGATAAAACAAGATATTTAAAATTACTGTACTTGATATGAAAAGCTGTTTTTCAAATATCATCTTCATTAACTCTGATTCTATGATAGATATTCTGTATATTAATCTTTGAGAATATCTTTGCTTCAGATAATTGATTAATTATCTTGTCAATTAATAGTAATAAATAGTAATTCTTAACTGTCATCTTATTAAGGCCTCTGTAGTCTATGCATAGATATAGTCTATTATTCTTCTTGAGTATAAAGAGTATAGACATCTCTGCTGAACTCTTTGATGAATATATTCAGTTCTTTAATTGTGCTTCTTCAAGATATTTGTGTAGAATATTCAATTCTTTTACAGATAAGTTGTAAAGAGATCTGTACAGTATTATTACACTGTCTTCAAGATGAATCTTATATTATATCTTGATATCAGGAAACTTCACTGCTTCTCTTTTCAAAAAGACATTCTTAAAATCTGTAAAGAGATGTCATATATATCTGTCTTTAATAACAGATACTGCTGTTAATCTTGCAGTAAGAGTGATGACTTCTTCATCTGTTCTCAAGTCTCAATCATCTGCTATACAGTATATTAACTCAATCTTTTTCTCAAGATTCTTCTGATGAAACTCTTCAGATTTCTCTATCACTGTCTCTTCATCAGTAAGATAATATCATCACATCTGAATAACTCAGTTAATGAGAGAATTGTTTTCTCTCAATTATAGAAGATCTAGAATAACATTCTCATCTATAATATTAACTGTATGAAGAAGCAGACTGCTCTTCTTAAAGATTTCTTCTGAGTCTGTGACTACACACTTCACTTGAATTATATCAAAATAATGATATTTCATTTCATCAGTAAATTTTATATAATCTGACAGATCTATCTTCTTTTAACTCTTTATTAAAGAAAAGAAATAGAATATGAAGTTAGTATCTGCTCTGAAGTTAAGTAGATATCTCACTAATATCTTCTCATTCAGAGTATGTATTGTAATTATAATATGAACTCAGAGATATGAGAATTATTAATTCTTCATTTCTTTCTCTTTATTATCTTTCATGAATACATTTATCAGAAGAGGAGTTAACTTTGAGAAGATATCTTCTCAGTTTCTTCTCTTCTTCAGCTTCTTACAA